GTGACAGTAGCACGCAAGTAATGCCTTAGACAGGAAGCAAGGAAACGGATTTCCCCTCAATACCTCATTAAGTGCACACATCCGTGCTATGGAGCCGATGTTATTAGTGATGGTTATTAAAGTAGCCTTTGCGAGGTCCTCTTTGCTGACAGATTCCCGCTTCTCCTTGCTCATCATGTTTCCAAAGCTGTAAAGACAGTTTTTGGATTAAAGGTTCACTTGCATCAGAATTCCAGGAGAAAACAGGAACTGCTAATTTAACCAAAGTGATTCATCTGGAAGTATTTCTTTCTAACTTTAAAAAGCGTTGCTATCAGTAACTTAGATCTGTTAAAACAGAACAGCAGAAGGAATGGTTGCTCTCCTAAGAGACGTAAATCTAGTTTGTCATCCTTGCAGGATCTCTAGTGAGAGTAAACATAAAAATCAGTCAAGTCTTTACCTGGAGGCTACAGCCCAGCCTGGCAATCCGAATCGCTCGTAGTCTCCTCCATAAATGTCCCGCACCAGTTTGTCCACTTTGGTACTGTCTCCACGGGATGCCATCTCTAGGGCCTCTTCAAAGGTGGAACAACCGGTAAGAAGGCAGCAGAGACCAAAAAAGGTTCCCCCTCCAAGGCTGCAACACAAAGCAAAATGAAAGTCACCTGCCTTGCTTCTAAAGAGACGGAGAAAGAAAATGGTTCCTTCCACTGAAAGCTCAGATTACTCAGCAACCCGTCTGAGTTAGTTCAGGTTGCCCCATTCCTTCAGCTTCCTCTCTTTTCAACGAGAGCAATCTTGGAAGAGCAGCAGTTTTCTTTAAATCTGTTACTTTCAAATAACCTATAGCCTGTAAGGAATCCCATGCCCCCACAGCCTTCTGCAGAGGGCATGTTTCTAATGAGAAATTAGTTTTCTTATTTTACAATATCCACCTTCTTCCCAGCACTCAGAAGTCACTCTTGAAATAAAAATTAGTCCTGAGGGATAAATGGAGTCTTGGGGCACAGCTATTCAAAACTTAGGGGAAAAAAACCTACGTCCTGTTCACTTGACTGTGCACACATGCCAATAATGATGTATAATAAGAGTAATATCTGTACTGTGGCGGGTTTTTAACTATTATTGTTAAATTTCAGGAAATTCAGAAAAGATTAAAGCCACAGAGCTCTTTGGCTTTGCTGGGAAACAAAAGCCACTTCTTCAAGAAGGATAGCAGTCCAGCAACTGGGGAATTCCTGCCATGCCAGCACCCCTTCTACCAAAATAAGGCAACTTTTGGAAGTCTGCTGGAACTGCAGACTTTGCAGACTTGCAGTCTGCAACTTTTGGAAACCTCTGCTGCTAGGATCAAAGCTAACAGTTGTTTAACATTATCATTATGAGTGTATTTGGGATAATCCCAAACTATGGGATCTCTCTGATGGCAAATAAACCACTTTAACTCCTGCAGCAGGGCAACTGAAAAAAAAAGCTTCTAAAGAGACTGGTTGCAGTAAAGAGACCAAAACATGAAATTAAAATTCTCTCTTCCAGGAGGGATCTTTGACAGCAGAGAGAAGGGACTGGAGTAAAAGCAGGAGCTCGGTCATTCAACTCACCCCCTTTAATGCAGCTTGTCCCTGAAAATGTCATCTACAATGCAGAAATAGATTCCAGATTCTAAAATAAAAACTCGAAGTGAATTTACCCCCTCACAGCACTCACCTGGTGCCCGTTACCCGTTTATAGTTTTCTTTGGAATACACAGCCAAAATGCTGACCCCTGAGCCAATGTTCACCAAAAGGAGAGGATACGGATTCTCCAAGTTGAATGGGAGTTTCTGACATCTCTCAGCATCCGTCGGGTTTTCAAAATAGTAGCACTCTGAATGTCCATTGAATCCGACTGAATCAATGTACAAAACTCCTTTAATAAGGCAATCGAGTTCATCTAGCTTACAAAGCTCAAGGTCACCCATCTGGCGGAAAAATAAAGAGAAAGAAGAATATTCAAGAAGTAGTTCGGGATCTGAAGTGTTTATGCTCAGGGCTAGAAAAATGCATTCACTGCCAGCAAAATTCAGCTATCCCCACTACTCCCTGCAGTGGCTGAGAAAGAAGTACCGATCACAGGAGGGTTTCATCTTTCTCCACGCACAGGGACTGCTAACTACCCCGGCCCAAAAGTGTGCAGACATGAAAGATGGGGGAAACGAACAACTGGATCCACACATGGACGCTGAGAGAATCTCACCAACTTCCATGGGTCTGATTCAGGCCCCGACTCTGAGGCACTAGTGTGAAAAGCAAGGAAAAATGAGAAGGGACTTAACTGTTTGACAAAAAAACCCAAAACAACTCCTTAAACCCATCCCAAAAAGCCACCAAAAACAAGGGAGGAAGTTATAAAATTGTTTTCCCCTCACGTCACTGCCTCGACTGTACAAAAAGCCTCTTTATTTGGTGCATTTTTTCAAGCCCTGGTTAAACAGTGCTTATCACATGTGTTTTTCACCTATGAACAAGAATCGAACTTAAAATGAAGCCACATGATGATGTCAAATCCCACCTACTAACCTCCTTTCAGTTAATTTACCACCAAATTTGACTGAACTTCAATCAGCTCACTCACACGTGTGTTAGAAATGAAACTGCGTGAGCAAAGAAACAATAAAACAAGTATTAAGCATGTGAAAGACAGCAATGAGAAAAAAACTCCACAAGACTGAGATCAGCATAATCAGAGATTAATAATACAGAAAATGTCTTGCAAGAACACACGCCATGGAAGTCAGTGAATAATTTTAGAGTTACAGGAATGTTACATGCACTTTCAGGAAAGAAAGCATCCTAATTTGGAGATGTGAACTTGACTCCACATGCTGTTCCCTGAAACAAGTTTGAGTTAAGTACACTCTTCCAAAGTTAAGATTTAGACAAGTTTTAGAGTCTGCAGAGAACGTGTTCTAGTTTTAAGCTTTAAAAAAATTTCACTACCAGATCCTAATCGTATAGAAGCCAAAAATGCATACTGTGCGAAAGTCCTGCTCAAATTTGTACGCTCCACCTCCCGTGGCACATAAGGTAGTATGGAGGCTTGAGAAGTGTTTTTCGCTTCCCATTTGAATAAAAGCAGGCATGTCATGAGTAGGAAAGCGTATAAAGTGCAGATTGCCTTTACGTCCACACAGGGTAAGGTCCTTTAGTTCAAGGTGCACATCCCGAATGCCTGTAGATCCATAGGCGACATTTGATGTCAGGTATTTGCGGATGCTTTTGAGATTTTCCACTTCCTCCTCCTCCTCCTCCGCAGTGATGTCCTTCGGTTCAAAATAAACAAGTTTGACCAAGGTCCCTCCAATATCCAAGCCAAACCAAGGAAAGACTAAAGAGAGGAGGGGAAAAAAAAAGAAGAAAAACAAACAGGGTATGATACCGTCATACCACCAGCAAAATACTTATAAACTGAACTAATTCAAGCAATTCTCAATTCAAGCGTTTCATCTATTCATTTCTAAAGTGGAAAACACAAGAAAAAAAAAACGTTAGCAGTCTGGTCTGTCTTTGACCAGCGTGGCTGAGACTCCTCTGTCCGTGGCGTTCACTCCTGTTTTGAGATACCCCACGTTCAGGAGCTCCCATACTCCAAATACTGACACCACCACGCAGCACTGAAGATGCACACGGCGCAGGTCTGACAGTATCCACACACCCGCTAGATACTGCTGCAATTTTAATCCCCAGCTCTTTCTTTTATAAAGTTCTGATCCAGAGCCAAGGATAATACCAGTGCTTTTACATCAAAGGGATGTACAAACGTTAACTAATTACAACACATAACTGAGGTAGACAAGTAATCTAAGATGCCCCAGGGAGACAAAAACAAATGTCTAATTGGATTATTTTATTAGTCAAATTCCCCCATGGTACAAAATATGCATTAGCGTCAGGCCCAGCAACATTTACAGCTGTATGAGATAATGAGCTTCTTGGAAAAGATCAAGAGAAAACCCTGATCAGATGGAATCTGCGATTAGAGCTGAGAACTGGAACAGATTAATATTACTATTAATGAGCTAAAGGATAGGCTAGAGCTAACAAGATACACGGGCTCCAGAGCAAAGAGAAAAATGTAGCCACATGTTATGGCTTACAGCAGCAGGATTAAACACATGTGGTTTTTCCGAAAGGGAAAAAAGGAACGTTTAGAAAATAAACCTGAACGCAGCGTATATGTTACTAACGTTCCTCTGGAAAGAAGGATCTCAGGTTTTAAGAAAATTCTTCCATGCCAGAGGCAGGCACGATAACGTGCTACTGTTATTTCTGCAAAATATGTTTGCCTATCTTCAAGCAGGTAAGCGTGCCACACGAAGAAGCCCTGGTTCCTACCACCATTTGAAAGCGGGTATCCCTCCGGTGAAGCTCAGGGAAGCAGCAGCCACCCCCAGAACGCAGAATTACCCAAAGCAAGAGCACGTTCCTTGTCCCTCCGTCCCAGCGGTGCCGGAATCGCACGTCGAGGCCCCGTCACTTCCAGCTGCAGGAGCACTAAGCATTCAGAGAGCGCAATACCCAAATACCCAGAGGCAGCACTTAAGAAAGCTGAACAGCAAAGAAAACAACTCAGGGGCAGGAGGGGAACTCGTCCCCCAAAGAAAATGATCTTTGAAAAGCCACAAACCCGACAGGCAAGCAGAGGTTTGAAGACGATGTATTCTCTCCTCGGTGGGTTAGCTTGGTTAAGAGCGGAGGTAAAACAGGCCCTTTTAGAGCATCACAGCTCCCCAGGAGCTGCTAGAGCCATCAGTTACCCACGTTATTTTTAAACCACTAAGTTATTTTTATATATTTACACAGAGGCCACCCCCAACCATCACCAAAAGAAATCTTGAAAGAAGATGCAAACTCTATTTTAGGAGGCACATCCAAATCCCAATCACTCTCTCTTTCTAATGCATTTACTTCAAAGAAGAACAGACATAAAAATAACTTTTCCTGAACGAGAGAGAGAAATCTGAATCATGGCCCAACGGAGAAAGAAAGCAGGAGCAATTCAAGGACTTTTTTCACAACAATTTCTCATTCTGCAGTCTTTAAATGAATTTCAGATTTGCAAATTCTGTCAGCATTTCAGGATGCAAACTCTACCAAGTGCTTTAATTGGAGAAAAGTTTAGCATATGTGTCTTATTTCAAGACTCCCTCATGAAAACCTCACAAAAAATTCAACAGTGAAGTTACCTCGAGAGAGAGGAACGATGGCTGCCTGGGTCTCATCACCTAACGTCAGAAGAACCATATCCACGAAGACACCAGACCAGGAGGACCACCCTCATGGGAAGGGGAGTTCAAGATCCCAGCGTGTAAGTGAAGGGAAAGGCAGGAGAAGGACAAACTCCAGGACTTTTGTACCCCCAAAAGAAAGGGCCTTCTTGTGGAGGAGTGTGGCAAACAGAAGTGATGGAGACCACAACCACTCCAACCAGGAGATGGATACCCTACTTCTGCATGGCAGGCATCAGGGCAGCAAACACCAAGCGTCATCCCCTTGTTTCACTCACCTGCTCTTCCCGACACCTTAAACCTAAAAACCGGGACACAGGCCCTCCTAATGCCACATTAGAGCCATCTCCAGTACGGCACATACATCCATAAGTCCACAGTCCCCATATTAGTGGCCGAATAGGACTGTGTGTCGTCCTCCCCCAAAGCGTTTTGTCTTTCTCTGAGCCAAAGTCCTCGATTTATCAACTAACTACTGCAGAAAAATGCTCTGAACAAGGAACATGCCCTGCTGTTGACAGAAGAAGCAATAAAAATACCATCAGAGTCACACAACTAAAACCAGGGCATTGGCAGCCAAACCAGAGCCTTCTGCTCCTGTTCCAGTCCCTCCAGTGACTGGAACTGGTAAACACCACTCGATTTAAATACCCAGTTCATGTATAGGATCACTAAAAACAGTTTCCCCCACATGCATTGTGCTTTTTAATACTGCTTAAACTCTGTCAGAAAACTAACAAGCTCTACACAAGAAAAGGAAGAGGAAGAGGCTTCCCACATTACTCAGTCAAGTCTTCTCCCGTCCGTTGCGGTCACTCACATCTTGGGACTCCCTTGTCACAAATTTCCCACTCTTAAAAGCATTCAGCTGCTTTGCCATCTCTGCTCTGACGAAGGCACTGGTTCCAGAAAGCTCTTGTCCTGGTGCCAGGAAACTCCCTTTGGATTTTTGGAATATATTTGTTCCTGTCAGGACATGCAAATTTTTTTCTGCATTACAAACCCTGCACGTTTTTGGTTTGGGTTTTTTTTTTTTTAAATAAAAAAAGCATTCCCACCCTTGTATTTTGAGACAGCAACCTTCCCCCAAACCCACTTTGCCAGGCTACGCAAGGGTAAAATCAGGGAGAGAGCAGAGGATGGGGTCTTGGAGATGCCCTGATTGAGGCGCAGCAGGAAAGAAAAGCATCCAAAAAGTAAGGCACGGTGCCCCGCTGAAGCTACGTAACTGAAAATGCCACGCGGGCTGCTTCATCGCAAGGTAACGGGTTTCCATTTCAGAGCAGACACTCAGCTGGTAGGACATGCTTTGGTTCAGTAGAATAACACTGGTTCCTTTTAAAGTCGGTTGTGAAATTCACCCACCAAACTCCCACATTCAGGGACAGAAACCTTCCAGATTTTAGGGCACAAACACCATTAACCCGATCCATCAGTTTAGGAAGCTTTCCTAGTCGCAAAAAAAGATAGCAGCTCCTTAGAAACTTCATCCCAGCTCATTCTCAGTGCCCTCAAGACCTTCAATCAATTTTTTAATACGTATAAATTTGCTTTTCATTCAGGTGTTGTTAAAGCTGCCACTGAACTAGCAGAACATCAAGCGTGGGGTTAAACCACGCCAGTTATCCACTCGCTGGCACACCAGGAGACACGGCTAACGGAGAAACAGGAATGATGCCTGCAGAGCTGGGTGTAAGCTGCCGTCAGGTTGGGCTCAGGGCTTACTAGTCTTCACTTAGCACTGGCCCAGCTAAATCCCAGCTGGCCCCAAAAAGAGAATCTAACCCCCCGGGGCTGGGACACAACCTCAGATCGGAGCTGGCTTCACCCATCCGTGCAGCACCAGCTGCAGAAAGCCTCTGCATGGAGCAGCTGGTGTTCTCCATCTGCCAACAGCTCGGCTATACCTGCAGTAAGCCACCAGGGATAAATTCTAAAAGATAGCCCATTAAGGTAATTAACTTAACCCAAATGATTCTTAATTATGGATCTTGCATTATATACATCCTAGCCACAGGTTAAGAATCCAAGGAAGAAGTGCGCTAGCTGAAAATTAAGTACTTCTTCACCATAGCATAAAGGATTTTCTGTGTAGTAAAACCTGCACAGAGCCCACGCAGGGGCAGGGACAAAGCTTTCCCTATAAACCCATTTTTATAGGAAAGGGGTGTGGCACACAAACAAGAGGAGGAAATTATTTCAACGACATGGAGAACCGTTGTGGTTTTTTTTCCTTACAGTTATAGGAAATCAGCCAACGTGAACAGGCAGGGCAGCGACAGCTCTTCCATATCTGAGAACCAGAAAAATCCATGCCTTCAAAGGGAGGAAGGAGGAAGCTCTCTTGGATGAACGCCATCACCATCTGCTACCGAGATTTCTCTTAAAACACTCATTTTTCCCAGCATCTACACTGCAGTTGAAAGCCATCCAAAGATCCCTCCCTTTTAAGCCTCTGAAGCATTTTTTTCCAAGAGAGCTGCCGCAGAAGACGGCAGATTTAGAGCAGCGCCAGAACTGGTGCCATCCGGGAGCCTTTGGGCAGCCCGGAGGCTGATTTTTCTCAGTCAGAAGGTTCTGCTGAAATAACCGGCACAAGAAGATGCCGGCTTTAATGGCCAAGGCAGAAAATGCAAACGCTGCCTCTCTTCACCACCTTCCTGCTGCTACTTGGAGCCGTCCAAGTTGGGAGAGAGCCTCATACGTCTCTCCTTTCCACACACCAGGCAGAGAACGACAGGGAGGATGAGAAACTCGTTGGCAGAGCATGGGAAGAGCATCGCCGTAGGAATCTCTGGACTCTCCTCCTGCCCAGCACCTTCTGGGAAGTGTTTGGTCTCTCCCTGGGTGTTTGGACATTTACAAGAAAGGCAGGAAATCCTCTTCTCATAGCCAGCGCTGCTCTTCATTCAAAACCTTCTACAGCTTTTTGCCTTACAAGAAACTCTCCGTATTACTTTGTTAGCATGATGACTGCCACTAACTTGGCTCTCCAACATTGCGTAAGGAAAAAAATAAACCCAACAGTATTCAGAGTGAACAGTAGGTACAAAGAAGGTGACTTAAGGAACTGGTAAGAGTGTGGCACCGCTCAGCAGATCAGGCACCCAAGCATAAACCTTATTTTCATTTGCTCCCCTAATGCAACATGCTGCTACAGCAGTTATAAAGTATCTTAAAGCAATTTTTTTCCAAGAAAAGAATTCTTCATCTTTTGGCCTGACAAAGTAACAGCTTTCCTTTAGCACAGACACTTTTCAAAAAAGCAACTCTATGCATACATTTTTATATACGCAATGTATGTACAGCTCTTTGTCTTAAAAATAAACCTGCTTCTAATGGGCAGATCTATGGATACGTAACAACAAACAAAAGACCAGTCTGCAAGCAAAGTTAAGGGCTTACAGCTCATATTAAATAACCTCACACACAGAAAAGCTCAAGGATACTATGTGTTCCCACAGCAAGAGCTGCCACCCTCCCTTCATCTTCAAATCCCTTTTAGAGTTAGACTGTAAGCTCTCTGGGGCAAGAAAAATATAATGCCTTTATTTGTTATGGAAATTACTTTATCAAATTGGGCACTATATAAATAAAAACAAACCTCAACAGGCTTATTCTGAAAGCTGCAGAAGTGTCAAGATGAAAGAAGTGATATAATTAAAGATCTCCACGGTGGATTTTCTTCATACGACAAGCAGCTCAAGTTGTATTTCAGGTTGATCCTTAAGTTATGAGCCAATTATATCAGAAGCTAAAAAGATTAGCCTGCGGAGCAACGAAGACTGACGATTTAGTTGAGCATATGACAGCATCTCTACCCTTGCTCTAAAATATTCAACATTCTATCTAAATAGCGTTATACCATGATGGAAATTTTACAGCTGGGGAAAAAAACATTCATCAGCATTTAAAAGAAAGTGATGCTAAGTCTACATATCCTCCCACCGCTACAAATGGGCTCTGCTAGGAATTCACATTTCACACACAATTCCAAAACATAAAAAGGTATTTAAAAATCAAAAGCTTAAATTTCGTACTGCAAAGGAGGTGCCAAAAGAGTATTTTATTTGTACCTCTATACTGTGTATATTGAGAATTTAAAGCAATGTGTACATTATGTTTTTGCATGATTCTGATAGACGATACTAAAACTTTAAAAAAACAGGTATCTGTTTAAAGGACTACAGAATGGATGAAGACATGTTTGTTTTTTTACCCACACACACATACATTTTTAGAAACTATTTGCAGGACGCTTTTCTTGACATTTTAGGTATAGGCTTTATTTTGGAATTCAGGAATACTCTGTAATACAAACACACTTTATGTAACTTACTTCCCCTCTCCTTTTATCAAAAAGTAAAACATTATGGATGATGCCTGGCAAAAGCATCAAAACAAGCTATTTGGGTTTTGTTTGTTGTTTTGTTTGGTTTTTTCATAGAACTAAGAAACAGGCTACAGAAGGGAGAAGAGTGCTTTGTTACCCAAGGAAATAACCTAAACTCATCTCTGTCAAGGAAACCAGGTTTTCAGGAAGGAGAAGAGCAATGCAGCAGCACAGGAGAGCTAGGAGAGAGTGGGGGAAGGTGAAAAAACGATGACCTATTTCTCTTATCATAACCAAGATTAATTACAAAAAATATTCCCCTGCTCATTATGATCTGGTCATCATCGGTTTTATGCCTGGCACTTAACCCTACCCACAGCAAGCCATTTGGTATCCCACAGTGATGCTAAAGTAAACATAACGCGAATATCCGCTTTAATCACCTGGGGTATTTCCAGTGTAGAATTCAATAACGGTACTGATAATTCATTACCAGAAAGGAATTCTTCTGTATTGTCTCTGGAGCTGATAAAGGTTTTTCTGTATTCTTGTTTCTGCCAGTACTAATAATCCTATCAAGCTCCCCTTCACACCCCACCAACATAATACTCCAAAGCAGCAAGGAACTTCAACAAATCTCTGCTTCACAGCATTTTCAGGGCTACTTCTCACTCCCTTCCGAG